TAGAAGTCTGTTGTTTTTTGAATGAGTGCTGCATTGCATGAAAAATTTCAACTTCATGCTTTGCAGCTACTCAGTAATGTAATGTTATATAGTTTATATTATTTATGGGATTTATAATGTAATATTTTCTGTTTCATATCATGTTTCTCCCTGACTACTAAACGTTAGAGAATATATGTGATAAAGTGAATCAGCACCAGTCTTTGTTCATCCATTGCTGAATGAAGCCTTTCCAAGATTTTTCCATTGATTTTCTGTCATTTTCGTCCATCTTTATCCAGCGTACGTCCTTAGCGCATTTTGTCATCAATGTGCAGGTGTTGCTAGGATTTATTTACTCTCTCTTCAAACCCGGTCTAATAACTTAAATATGGAGTATTATCATTTAAAGGATTTGTCGCATTTTGAATATAACTTGTGAAGAGAATTAATTCAGGACTTTTACAGTTAGTCGGTTTGCAACACACTCTATAGAAATGGAAGACAGACAGTCGTCTTGAATTTCTTGAACATCTGTTAATCGAAATAGAGATCGCTCGTTCATTTTCACCTTCTGCTATTCGTTTATGTTCGCTGGGTAGCCGCTGTTGCAACCGCGAGATTTTGCTCGATCTGGAGATACGGAGTCAGTTGATAATGTAGTTGAATGTCCTCACGCATACTGTGGCGATTTTGGCATTTTGAGCCAATCTTTTTGTCTCAAATTAATGTCGGTTGTAAACTTACGTCAGTGACAGTTTCGTGAGGTTGAAGTGACGGAACAAATCACTTTCTCATTAGCAGAATGCTGTTGGTATAATTTACACCATTTAGCTAGTTTAATCTAGGTGGACTAGCCAGGTACAGGTTTCAGTACTTCACCCAGCCGAGTTGGACTTCCAAGACAAAACAAGGCCGAAATATTTATTCAGTAAGCATCTGTCCAGAACGAATCGCTACATAAATAAAAATTGCTACACATCTCTGTCCAAACGAATGAGGGGTATGCAGTGGCTGCACTAAAATTCATTGGATATATGTATGGCGTTAATTTTAATGCATTTTGTACTATCTGTTCTGACTTATTCTTGACTCTGATTACGGGCGATGTCAGCCATCTAATACGTCTTTCTGTTATTGAATCTTTTTCTTTATTATTTGATATCTGTTTTACAATAATTAATTCTGTTTTGCATATTATATGTACACATGTTCAATCCTTTTCTATAACTGTTTTATTTGCACTTTAACTAATGTCCATTCGTTGTTGTGTTTAGGTACGCGAGAAATGGGTGCTTGCCTTACAACAGCCGGTCCGGACTTGTCGTTCTCAGGCGTTTATGCATGAGCACAATTTCAGAATATTGCCAAACAATCATCTGTGCAAGAATAATGAGCACCTAATAGAGTCGACGCTGGTGAGTACTGTTGCGTATGCAAGACGAGAAACTGAAATGGATTCAATCATCATTATATCGTTTTATAGCTTCCGGTTCCGGAAGACCTCAGCGGTCGATGGATTGAATTGTTCAAGTCCCAGGAAGAGGAACGGCATCGTTTGCGGCTGTCTCACCAGGTGCAGCGCGTAAGCGTAATTTCGGTCGACCGATGTTTAGCGTTTCATTACGTTTTCTTTAAGGAGCGGTTGATAATGGCGTGTGAAAGCGAGGCTCTGCGAACTTATGATCGGTTGCACGGAGCTTCGCCTGCACCACCTTTCTCGGTTATGCGTTTTCTGCGCGACTCTGATATCTACAACCCACAACAGCTTATCCGGGTACTTGAAATTTTGTTTTTTTGACTGTTTTCACCTTCAGCCGTATTACTGATGTTATGTGTCATTTCTCGTTGTCATTTAGGCTCCGTGCAAAGAGCTTCACGACTTAAATTTATAATACCTGTGTTTGCAAGCCGATTAATATGATCTTTTGAGATTTTCACTCATTTGCAATCAAGATGTTTCTAAAACACTGCGGGAGGCCGGGATGAAGCATCGTTACACATTGGCGTTGGCCTATGGAGCGGCGAATTTCACACCTGATTTCATGTCATGATCTTCAGTGTTTGTCGATCCACTGCAACCTGAAGGCTTCTCCAAAATAGCCATAGACTTTTGCCCCTCTTTTAACATTTTATTCTGCTTGATCGAACGGACTTCTTCAGCTCATC